TGGATTATCATGGGCATAGGTTAAGTTCCCCACTTATTTTTGAAGTAGGGGAAACGGTACTTGTTTTCATAATAGCTTATTATTGGTCAAGTTCTTCAAGATATTTGACAATATAAGTCAGTTTTGATAGTTATTATAAGTAGATGTATCTTGAGTTACTTGTGTTTATTTCAGCAATTGAGTTTTAGGTCATCAAAGATGTCAAAATCTGTCAACTCAAGTTGCATCATTGAGAGATAGAGTCTCGTATGAATAGAGACCTAAAGAACTAGTATATGATGATCCAGCATTTTCACTTCTAATGAAGACATATTAAAAGATAGTCTCGTATGAATAGAGACCTAAAGAGCTAGTATATGATGATCAAGCATTTTCACTTCTAATGAAGAAATTATATTAAGAGATATATGCGCCACCAACGTTAGGCCTATATGCTTTATATTCTATCATTCCAATCATGGACTCAGGAGTTTACACAAATAATATCTTCGCCATCGGTATTCTTCAGAAGTCATTTAACAAACTTTAATTTAGAAAGCAGGTCTCAATAAAGCTATATTATGTTAAGCTGTGTTTGATAATTTGACAGTTCGTGAAACTGCATCCGTAATTTGGTACGATAGTCTAGAATTGTGTATGGTGCGGTGGGCAGGGAGTCTTGGGGCGGGTATACATATAGAACTATAACTAGCTGTGTTATTTGAGCTAAGGAAGTGCAAAGATCGATGGAGACATTCATGTTTGAACTGTTTGATGGGCTTACCTTCTTAGGCCCGAGTCTTTGCCGCATTAGGACTAATCCCTCAGCCAAGATCAACCAAGCTAAATGGAAAGAGTACACATAACTCTCTGAAAGTCGATTCCTGTTCAAATTTACCTACATTTAGCCCCACGTTATCCCGTATTGAGGAAATTCAACAATATGACAATATTTGCACACTTCAAATGAAAATGCCTCGTGGTGTTTTTGAGAGTTGGGTACACTAAGTAAAGGTATCTCTGCTTTAAAGTGGTACAATACGTATTAGTTGAACAATGATCGTAGCTACTTCAGGTGCTTACTTCAACACTTTATGCAATGATACATTAACAATTGCAGCCGAAACACTTGTTGCAGTTCTCATTGAAGACTTGAAGTAGCAGTGGTCATCGCAAACTTGCCTGTCACTTGTTAAAGCTTTACTCATGCGTGTCATCTCCCAAGACCTTGTTGGGCATAGAATACGGCCCATAGGATTTACTGGGACTCGTTGCTTGGGATTCCAAGTACTATTTATTATATAGAATGTGGTCTTGTGTTGAATTCAAAGTTCCAGTTCACCAGTTTCGTTTTAATTGAAGAACCATTTCCGCGTTGCTAACTGATGATTATGTTGATGTCATTGTGTATTTACATTTCAAAAATCTTGTATTGGAGATCACATAAAATAATTGAAATTAAAATGATCAATGCTGGCAAGTTCGTAGTTTTATTAGAAGCCATTGTGTAATGTTTGATTCCCGATCGTGATGTTAAATTGTACATTGTGTGTACAGGTCAAAGTTTATGGTTTGGTCAGAGCTAATTCGGCCTGTTTATTTGTTAAAGATTGCACCATCAGTGTTAACGCTATATCTTTAAAATAAACTTTTCAAATCAAATAAATCCTGCCCTACGTGGCTTCCCCAGCTTGATTTGTCTAGGAAATTGTTTAGAATTGTCAGACGGAGGAATATAGGCCTATTGGCAATATACAGACAATTAAAATCAAACACAATACGTACACCAAGAGTAAACATAAACCTATGGCAGGAGCTGCTGAAAACAAAGGGCCGCGAAACATAAGACAGCATAATTGATCTAAAAGTGAGGTAGAATCTACTACCAACATGTAATGTTCAAAATGTTAAAAAATATGGATACCGTTTAAACAGTATAGGTGTGATTTCATTAATTTGATCAAAATCCAATAATAACTCTAATCAAAATAATCATATTGAACTAGAATTTAAAATGAGGCCTCGGTTATTAATGTGTGTATTTGCTAGCCCCACTATCAATTTAACTAGCAAACAGTTTGTCATGTACCAAAAATTTAACATATGACCTTTAACTCAAACAACTCATTAATTTGTCAAATTCGTTTTTAATCCCCAATTCGTTATAAATATTGACAACATTGTCAACAAAACATATAAAAAATGGGAGCGATATTTGTCTTCAGTTCCATTTCAGTTTTTGGGTTATTTGTGGATCAGTAATCCGATGTTATCACTTGTCTTATTGATGGATCTGAAAAAAACAGTTGCCGGGGTACGGGCGAAACATACAATAATGTGAAGTTTTGGAGAATCCAGCCCCATGTACATGTTTGAGGAAGAATATTTAAGTTCCATTGTTGATCAGATTTACATTAATCTTGAAAAGTTAAACCATGCATTATTACTCATGAACATATTAATTTTATTGTACGTTTTATTAGTCCATGACTATCTCTCAATTTCTTGAAATTGTGTCAATATTATTTTATGTTTTACCATTACTGTGTCTGAATTATCTTATAAAAAGACGTTTTCAAGCGTCATTTAAATTACGCCAAGAGATATGCTAGATTTAAGGAAATGCCTATAAGCCAAGATAAAGATTAGTTAAATAGTGACAAATCATACTTGTAACATCCAGTGCATGTATACTAGTAGGAAATATGGGTAACCTTATCTGATATAAAGGTTTAATTAAAAACACCGATAAAACACGACAAGTTAAAGCATTACTTGGCTACCATGTTTTACCTTTGATATATTACGTCCACATATCAATCAGCTCACTATATTGAAAATTAAAGTGAAATATCAAAAGTGAATACGTCATAATTATTTTGGTGGTTTTGATGATTTCAACTTCAAAAAGATAAAAGATCGTTGCACGAGGAATACACCTTAATCACCGTACGAAATGAATTATTAATTTCAAACAGATCCTAATTTATAAATGAATGAGTGCATATATATCTGATAATTGTGAAATAAAAATTAGTCAATGCTGTTTCAAGGTGAAAATTATGATTTGTCATTTTACTTCTTAAATAATTAACACGTGTGTTTAAAAATGGCACGCCCATCGAAACATGACAGAGATTGCAACTTTGCTTTCTTACCCCTCAAACTAGTGTAAAAGGATAGCATAATTTTTATAGTTGAATTGATCAAGTGATTCCCTTTATAATTTCAGGTATTAAATGTAACAATATACAGACTAGAAAAATAAAGGAAACACAGTAAGAAAAGCAAATTCAAAGTTTAAACCTGTTATAAGAAAAATAGACCTGGTATATGGGCGTAGCGCCTATTACGCAAAATACGCACATGCGTACCAAATTAATTTGAAAAAAAATTAAAAATGTGTTAAAATGCATTAATTTAACCCAACGCCCATGGACGCCCAAAACCATGATCTATCGTGAAAAGAAATAGTGTCTAACACCCAATTCCTCCCAAACAAGAGTCAATATCGCAATCCAAGACCAGAACACCAATGGACATTTCATTCATACTTAAGTCATTACAATACATGTAAATAAATTGTATACTTTGATACTAAATATTTTGCCCGAGCCGTAACAATGTGTTTTTCTTGTGAACGGATCATTTCTAAGCTGAGCTCTAGTTCGCACATTGTTCAATAGGAGTCAGCATTGTCCACAATATCTATAAAAGAAATCACTGCTACAAAATAAAGATATCAAAAATTATTCTGAAAGCGTACTTAAGATCTCAAAACACCTCCTTATAGTTTCAATTTGATTATTAACGAATTCAGACTTCTCAACTTTTTAATAGTTGTTCATTTTTGAGTATCACTTTCTTATATGAAGTGGATGTTATCATATCTTGAGTAGGGATGAAGATTTCGATCCTTATATAAGGCGCTGATCAGCCACTCAGCATCTTGGCCTGGAGTGGTCCTGAGAGAGGGCTTATTTCTGAGTTCTTGTGGGGCCTTGTGTATATATGCAAAATGTAACAATGTTACAAGTAGTATGGTCAGTATAAGTGGATTGTGATGTTATAGGAGTACTACTAGATGAAGTACTGGAGAGAGGAGAAGCTTAACTCTAACAAATACATACTGATCTCACACTTGACTTAATGATCTAGGAAACAAGACCGACATAACTCAGTTGCACCTTAATAAGTTAAAGTCTCACACTTGCAGTGCCACTTCTTTTTGAAGTGGGAGACCTTACAAGATTACTTCCAAATGGTATTACACTCGAAAGAGCATTGCGATGAAGAACGCAAAGTCCTCATTTAGTCTCATTGCCCCGTTATTGATATTTCCTAGAACGGATATCATATGAGAGAATGGATTAAGACCTGAATTCATATTTTTCATTAGGATTAAGAGTTCTTGCTTTAGTGATCATAAGTCAATGGGGTAATGGGCTGTGGAGAATAAAGGGGAAGTGGCTTTATAGATTTACGCATTTATGTTCGACTCTTACATTTTTATTTCGTGTATACCTCACATTATTGCCTTTCAGGTATAAGCCTACATCAAATTTGTTTTCTATAATGTTATCTTTGCATTGAAAACAAGGTAACACTCCCACTTTCTAATTAATTTCTACAACTGACAAGTGATTGGCGATATCTCGTCCAATAGGATTGTCGCTAGATACGTCGTGCATTGATATCACAATCTTTGATGGGTATTCATAGCGGTTCTTTAGGCAGCCACAATACAGTGAGCCACTGACACATTTCATTTGATAACAAAACCTATATGACATGCCTATGTGACTCTATTCTTATACCAGCACACCTGGGAAGTGAGAGAACTTGACTAGAGAGCACCCACCAAGCAACACATTCAAACATTTAAAAGTCAGAAAAGTAAAACTAAGAAGTTTATCAAGTTTCTGACTACAAGTGCTTCTAAGTATTCTAGCCAGCTGATCCTGTTAATAATTATTTTATGAACTTATGACTTTTAACACGGGCGTTTTTGTTTTCCGTAGATGGATACGCAACTTGCGATGAACGGAGCGAAAGGAAGCAGTTTCAGCGTTAAGGACATTCTAGACTTACCAGCTAATAAAGACCCAAACTGCAGCCCAGTTTCAGAACATATATCAGTGCCATCTAGCGGAATGCCTATTTCAGAGGTCCCGGATGTAGCTCCAATGACCAACTATTACGACAGCGATAATCCATACACAAGGTGGCTACAAAATCAAGAAAATATGCAATATCCAAGTAAGTATAATTATTTATTGAAATAAACCAGAGATTATTTTTCCATTTGAATAATTAGTCCTAAATCATATAGCTCTACATTTAAGCTTCAATTTTAACATTTAATAATGTTGCTTAGGTAGCTTTTATTTCTAGATAACATCAAACTCGGAAATAAGCCATAAAGTAGAATTTCTACACACATGGGAATGCAATTAATAAATTGAGAAATAAAATATAAGCCATTCACATCACTGGAAATCACTAAATTCAAAGCGAAAAAATCTGAATGAATCAGTATCACGCTGTAGTAAATGCGAGTTGTAAATCATGTTAAGTTATCAAAATGATTGCAACGATTATGTTTTGTGAATGAACGAATCTGTGTTGTATGTGTGTGGTATATTTGTTAGATGCCCAGGTGTCGAAGGGGCAGAAAAATAACATTCAGTTACCTAATTTTTGTGACAACTATTTTGATACATCAGCATGCAGCCAAAATTTATTTACAGGAAGGAAACCATAAGTTTAAATTCAAATAATACAGGGTGGTCACTAAGTTCTGGGAATTTATCTGTCATTTGATTATTTTTCAACCAATTTACTTGAAATTTTCAAGGTAAATGGGGAATGTAATTTTGGGTTGGATTAAACAGTCTCATTGTCATCTGATGTCACAATGGATAATTATTGTTACTATAGCAACATGACAAATGGCGTAGCGGGTCAAGTAAAATAAAAATGATTTCAAATTTTGCTTGATCCAAAGGTATGGTTAATAAATACCTATTTGGTGGACATATTTCTGCGATTTTCTATATTTTCAAATACTTCTAACTTTAGTTTCTAAAGTAACATCTGTATTGTTATATAAGAGTGTACTTTGCTCTATTTTCGTATCTTTCATCAGCATCTCAAAGTCACAATCATGACTAAAAATAGCGGGGAGTTATCTTCCATTTTGTCTATGCTCCTTCCCATTACTCGAGCTGCCCATACTACTCTTGAAGAATTAGGGTTCACACAAGTTATTACTGCCCCATATTCACCAGACAATATTCACCAGATGAAGCACCACTAGGCTTCACTACATTTTGGGTGCTAAAGCATTATATGAGAGGTCATATGTTTGATTCCGATAAGGGACTGATTTCAACGAATTGAGCAAAACTTCAAGGGATACCAAAGGGAGGACTGGAACACATCTTTATGGACTAAGTTTGTCAACAACGCATGTGCGTCCAGGCTAATGGAAACAATCATAAATGAAATGATCCTCTCAGCAATGAAGAATACTTCTGAATAAATGACTTCAAGAGTACTGTTCTGTCTCTAGTACAAGTAGTTTGAAGCAACCATCTAGGCAAGATGAATATGTTTTGGCAGGAAATTTTCAAATTAACATCAGTCAAAATTTCCTGACCCGCGAACCACTTTTACTTTTTTTGTAATTGCAATAAAATAAATTGTAGATGTGATATGTATATGAAACATTGCTTGTCAATCCAGAATTATACAATGTACACCTGCTGAAAATTTCAACTCAAATGGTTGAGAAATCTTGAAATGGCAGACCAATTCCCAGAACTTAATGATCACCCTGTATATTTCGACGTTATAAAAATAAACACTTTTTAAAATTTGTTTAAAAAATTTCTTCACTAAGATTTCTGCAAGAAATAATAACTTCGAATCGGAACCCATGTGTTAACTTCGATCCAAATATCTACAGTGCAAGTTAAATTAAAAGTACCATGCGCGCAGAGTTTAGTTATAAACTACACAAAGGTGAGGCTCTCTTTTAAGAAGCGAAGTCGAACTATTGCAAAGGATAAAGTAAAAGTAAAACTACGTGAAAGTATAATAAAGTGAGTTATTGACATTGATGATGTAAACGTGATATCATATTTACAGCTGTTCGTGAGGACTTTATTTGATACTACATGTTCTTATAAATACTCTTGGCCTGAATATTAAGATCTCAGATGAAGTACCCACTTAGCCTTAACAAGTATTATCTCCTATACTCTAACTTATACTTGTTATAAGATCAAAATATCTTGAAATAATAATGAAATATCAATTTGAAAGGTGTAAACTTAAGGCTAAGAGAATAATGTAAATATTGCGTTACATATTCGAGTGATATTTACCCACTCGACTATTGTATTATTAAGAAATTATTTCCTTTATTTTAAGATTGACATTTTCTACAATTTAAATCATTTCAACTTTTTAATATTATGATAATATATAACGTAATTTTCATTCAAATGTTAGGGTCGCTACATAAGTAAGATTTAACATATGATTTATAATGAAAATAATTTTGTGAAATCACGAAATAACTTACGCTGAGTTTCGACTTTTGTTTTTCTAATTAAACCATTAAGTGATATTCTCGGCGTAGTTGGAATATCAATTCAATTACCACTGATTGTAGTGAATGACATTCAGACAACTTTATGCTTTAATTACTGCACTTAGTAAAGTCATCTGAGTAATGTCTGAAATAAATCTTAAACAATCGGCAATCTAGGGTTTCATATATAACTGATCATGTATATATAATTAAATGTATTGATGTATTTAAAATGTAAAAATCGATTTAATAAAGTTTTATCATATCATTTTTCTCATAATAAATATATTATAAAGTAGTCATTTTAAAATCATAGTTAGGAAAAGAAAGTATAAAATATGGTTAGAGTGCAAATGCAAGAATATCCATTTCTAATTAATTACATGTAAAGTACCCTGTTTGAAATACGTAAAATGCACTTAACGTAAAATGCACTTAAAACTGTGATTAATAAGGAGTAATGAATGTATAAGCAAAATGTGGATGTTCGAATCAGAGTGAAGCACATAACTGTACATCTAATCACAGCTACTATGAAATAATATATTAAGAAGCAAATGTTGCAGTGTAAATTTGATGAGACGTGGGCAATGAATCTCACTTGTTACAATAGAAAACCGCTCTAGAATCTAATCAGAGATACAGCTCGATTACGCCCGGTGAAACACCCGATTCACGACCAATTACTTCGTCAGTTGGCCGGAAGACGCTGTATTTCTTCTTGTCTGTTCTTTCGTTCTAATCAAAGTGGGTATCGCTACGTTGGTGTGAAAGAAACCAGTAAATTTCCCATTAAATCTTCATATGGTCAGAGTCATTTGGAGCACCTTCTCAGCAGGGGTCTATATACATGAACACCTGTATCGCGACCCAACTCATCCCTATATCAAAAATGACAAATTTTGTTTTTCTTGGCCCTACGTAGGTATACGCGATTTTATGGCTGATCATAAATCTCAAGTTGGATTAATTATCGCTCTTAATATAACATCTATATCAGTTCAAATTTACAAATTTAAAAGTGAAAATGTTCTCAGTATGTAGGCGATATCTTTCATATTTCGCTCAGCAGCTCATCAACGTTTTGTTATTAATTCCAAAGTTCATTTTTGGTGGGGACGCATGTTGGCTGTCATGAAGGCATAACACCAATGTTTTCTTTCGTTGAATCTAGTGAACGAAACCATTGATGATATTGTCACATTCCACTAGGATTCTCCCTGCACCTAGCAACTTGCAGTCAGCCTGAAATCACCTTTTCTAACTAGAGGTCAACAAATGGTCCTACCACGGGGTTTTAATATAGTTCAAACTTAAAACTCACAGTTCCATGTGAAAAAATCGAGACAATTATAATATTTTCTTTTCGAAAAGTAATAGTTTTAATTGATTTTATACCTGCATCTTGAGTTTTAATTTTTTAATATTCACCAAAGGAAATCATCCGGAAGTCTCAGGGTGGAGAAAATTAGATTATGATTTTTCAAAATGTTGATTTCATTTTCTACCCTGAAATTAAGTTATGATATATTTTCGTGTAGGGAGTAATTTATTCAAATTGATTTTCTAAAAAATACGTGGATCAATTAACTTCTATAAAATTATAACTGGCAAAAGTGGTTAAAAGATTGAAGACGAGATGACTAACAAAAATGTTAAATTAAAAATACCAAAACAAGATAAGAAAATGGAAAATGGAAGTAGAAAAGTACTGAAATCGCTAGAATACCTCTAAGTTATTAAAAATAAAAGGCATCTCTAACACCAAAAAGTACATGGAGCCTCAAACTTTGTGACTTTATTTTACCATATTGCCCTTTGTGATTTTGTATTATCTTTATCCAACTGGTACCGTTTCTCATTTATGACCTATACTCTTCTTCATAGTTACTTTAGTGTAGAAAGTGAAAGGCTTTGTTGTCATTGTACGTTTACCTTTAAAAGCACCTGTAAAGATCAAACGTTTAATTAATAAATGTAAACATTAAGTTGTGAACACATAATCTAATAATTATCAGCGACAAAGCCTTCCCATGTCAAACTACTCAAACATATGAGCAATGTGCGATAAGATACTCATATCATGCTCAGATATAGAAATTCCAATTTCAATTATCAATGACGTAACTTCTGATGTACCGGTACAAATATTATACTCTTATTAATTAAATTTCGTACTTAATTTTGATTTTTTATCTATAGTCACGTTGGTCTTATGATCATGGCAATATAAAAGCGCGGTCTTTGACTGTTATTGGTATTGCATTATTTAGATATACCTGGTTGTTCCTCGCAGTTAGCTGACTCATGAATTAAGAGAGATTCTTCCCGTATTACGTCAACCTCTCAATTCCTCTATTCATGTCACGAGTTAAACAATAAACATCCCGTGACATACAAAAGAGAATAAAATAATATAAATTGATGCTCCGGATATCAAGATCAGACGTTAAATCAGTTAAATTACAATTCATGAGAAATTGGTCGATTGCTAGAACAATGGGTTTAATTAGTGGTGTTACATTATTGCATAAGTTTCTATTGTGTTCCATGGATATCAAATGGACCAAATACAGATACAAGGAAAAGTAATTCTATCTGATTTTCCAATGAGTTGATACAGTAAATGTTCGTGGGAAACCCCAAAGCTGTCAAAACAAAGTCACTTAAAATCAAAGCAAAATGACTTGGCATCAATGACATGTGTCCAAGTGCGCATTATCTATTGATACATTTATGGGGGATTTCCATATTTTATTTTGGAACGGATCAAAACTTAATAAAATATGGATATTATGCCAATAAATGTATAAACATGAATGACCCCAAATGAAATTGTTAATCCACCTGGAATAAAAGAAATACACTCTTTAAACCAGGTAAATGATCAATCGGAACGTGGACGTGCTACATTGTTTATAAATTTTTCCTTTACTTTGCTTAAATCTCTCCTGGTTCCACGTTCAACCGATGCAATAATTCCTCGTAACTCTAATTGTAAATATCACTTTAAATGATGTCTGTCTATCTTTTCAGTTCCCGGTCATATGTCTGCACAGCAAGCACATAGCAATGATAACAACAACAGAGTAGCGCCTGACATAGAGGCACACACTGGCGTCCACCAAGTGAAACTCGAGCGGGAAAGTGATCATAGCGGTGACGAAGACGAGGGCTCCGACTGCCCACCAAGCCCAACAGAAAGTAAAGACAGTGTTAATACCGATAAAGCAGACTCTAAAACAGACGGTAGTACATCGGGAGATCAGCCAGCCAAAAAGGGCAGAAAACGCAGGGTTTTATTTACCAAAGCGCAAACATATGAACTAGAACGCCGATTTAGGCAGCAACGATATCTATCCGCTCCTGAGCGGGAACATTTAGCAAGTATTATCAGGCTGTCCCCCGTCCAGGTGAAAATTTGGTTTCAGAACCATAGGTATAAAATGAAGCGGGCACGACAGGAGAAAGGTTTAGATATGAACCCATTACCATCCCCAAGAAGAGTAGCTGTACCAGTGTTGGTGAGAGACGGTAAACCCTGCCAACCAAGTAGTATGAACATGAACATGAATGGTAGCATGATGAAAGGACAAGAACTGAGTATGCAGGGCATGGGAATGAACCCTATGAACTCTACGATACCTCGCATGAATGACATGAACTCTCTCAACAGCATGGCCGGCATGACTGGTCTGCCGAATAGTATAGGCTCAAGCAACATGAATACGTCATACATGAACAATTCTTACAACATGCCTAGCACAATGAGCTCAATGAATTCAGGCATGAACTCCATGAATTCAGCAATGGGTATGAACTCTATGTCAGGTATGAACAATATGTCGGGACTCTCTTCTTATAACCATCTAATGCAGCCCCAAACAAGATGGTGGTAAAACACATGGTAGCCATAGCAACCTACGGTAACTATGGCAACCGTTACTAAGGAAACTTCTACACTTGACTTTGCCTACGAACACATCACACCGTAACGTACTCCTGATTCTCTATACCTCTGGTTCTGAGCTACATTTTCTCCTAGCAGGAGGCCTGCGATGATGATAATCTCACTACATGTTTATAATTACAATGAAATAGTAAAAATGTCAAATCCAACTTTATGTAACCGATCATTGGATTATTTCAAAATCTGTTATATTCTGCAAATGTGTCCAATGATAGGTTTCAGGATTTGCAGATTCTACATTCTCACTTGCAGTCAAAACATGTTGTGATGCTAGTTGTAGGCATAGTTGCTCAAGTATGAAGGTTCAACGCCAAAGTGACGCCATATTAATTTATTCAGCTACTGTCATGGTAACTACTCATTGATACATGTGTTAAATAATGTGTAAATAATATGTATGTATAAAGCCTAGTTATAAAACAAACCGCCATAATTCAAGAATTAAAATATGATTCTCAAAAATCAAAATTAAAATCATTCCATGACAATGAGATGCAGTACAACTACAACGATTTATGTTCACAAGTATTTAAACACATATTGATTCCAATATTTGGGCATAATTCTTGATTATGCATAATTATTTTAACATGTATATGTATATATATGTATGAGGATCGATCATTTTATTTTTGAGATGTGTAGTATACATGTACATTCCAACCAAATGCACATATCATTGTACATTCCGAAATGATGTTTGTCTGTTTGTATGTTTTATTAATACATAGATATAAGTAATTGTACTAAAGCGTTTATGTGGTCTTAATTTTGAAATGTAATTTAAAAGAAACGATCTCAGACATGGGACAATTCGAACTTCTCAGAATTCCTTACCACCTGTAGGAAGAATAACCAGACATATTTCCAATACATCTTTGTCAGTCAAAAATTAAATCATCCATCATTTATAGACAAAGACATAGTGTCAATTGTTCAGCTTTCTTGTTGTCCCTAAGAATTGACATAGCCTGCTAAACACACCAAACTTTGAGTAAGTCAATTTTTGGAACAACAAAAACGCATTTTGGCAAAATTTGTTGCTGTCATAAAAGCTGGGTATTTTGTTAGGTAAATATGTTAAGTAAACGAAAACGTAAATCAATTTTGTATTTTGACATTGTCAATGTTTGCTTGTATCAGTGATTGTCATCAAAAATCAGGTTTGATCTAGCGAGCTGAAAGGTGTGTACAGCATGATGATGTTGCTCTATGCAGTGATTTTTCATTACTTTGACATGAGTTTATTTCATAATTAGCAGAAGAGCGTCTCCGAGAATGGAAAAGCGTCTCCCTAATGAGTAAAGAGAAGACTTATCGTGTTTAAGAGCTATATGTTAATATTAAGTTAGCATTTAATAGATTTATGTATGTCATTCTAAGTGCAACCAATCAGAAGGCCATTATAACAAACGTGCAAGATTTACCTTAGAAAAAAATATACGACAATAAAAGACTTTGATCAATATAATTGCCATTTATGTTGTTACAAACCACAAAACCGTCAGTTCCTAATCCTTCCTCTAAAACAGGGACGTTACCTGGGCATGGAGCTATATAACTACAACTATATAGCTATTGAACTTACTTTGGTGTCATTTTTCATTGGGATATAGTGAATATATTTGTTTGAGAAAGTTTCCTCCTCATTCTTATTGTAAATAAAGGAATTTCCCTTACTTCTATTATTAACATCTCGCGAGTTGCTCAAAACCGTTCGTCCTGAACACATAATTCCCAACAGGAAATTAAACTCCATATTTTTTCAGCGGCTGTAATTTTTTTGCAACAAAAACATAATTTAATTACGCCCTTTTTAATGATTCCGTCTTTTATAGAGTTCACGTTGTTATTATTACATATAATTAGATTTCATTTCTATTATACCTGAACGGTATTATCAGAAATAGAAACCTGTCTTTACCTGGACGATGTTATGACGGGAAGGACTGTTTAGACAGGAACAGGATCTTTTGAGATCTTGTTGACTCAACTCTTCATTGCGCGTACTCCATCCAGATATCTCTAAAATAACACAAACGTATTCTAATTCACTATTCTATGCTAACTAGTATTTTTCAAGCAGTTCAAGTGTTCTATATTCCACATTTCAAGTTTGTATACGGCAAGTCTGAAAAGCTCATCGAATTAATCTGTGTATCTACACTTTACAAATCTCAACTACCTATTCGTGAATAATATCCCCACTCTAGAAAAATATTATCGTTTCTTTCAAGACTTTCTCTTAGAATTAGAAGAGAGAACATTATTAGTACACAAAATAAACATCATAATTCTTAGCTCAATCTATGGCTTGTTTTATGCTTTTTACTGGCGCGTTTTACAAATATAAATCATGATCTTTGTGTTCGACTCGAGGATTCTCATTCCAAAGTCTGTATTCATCAATAGCTATTTGATTAAGAATCTCTATGCCTACTTCGCGAAACTTCCGGCAATATTTCATATTCGCTTGCTAACCGTTAACTGAAGTCATAAAGGAAACCAGAGGGAATTTCTAGATCTTGTCACAATCTCGTTGAATACAACCCAAGGCTAAAACAACATAGATTAATGTAGTTAGCACAGTTCAAAAAATTTACTCAGTTATCGTAAAAATTGTGAATATTTAATTATGTTTCAACTATTCCCAACTCCATGTGTAAGTCCGAAATACAATATTTGGAAAATATCAACATTTTTCAAAGAATATCATATGCTTTGCCTCTTAATTATGATCAGACAAAATAATTAAGTTAACTTTAGTCTTCTTATGGTTTCCTGAATGATATGTGTTGTCTAGATGCTAATATGTGTATAAGAGAATATACAACTATGTGTTTTCTGTCGGTGGCACACAACGGGTGCGTCAATTTAAAATACAATGATATTGCTTAAAATACAATCTGAAATAAAATCGATACCATCACTTAACATCCTACAGTTGAGTCGTTTTATAAAATAAGAGCAATTCTTTTTAAATTCACCGTTTGCTAATTGGCTCAAATTTTGTTTTCTTCGGACATAATTTTTTTCGAGATATCAGGATCAGGCATGGAGATTTTTCACATTGTTGTTTACAAGTCGAGTCGTATTCGAGCGACTGTGTCAATGGAAGGTCCTTGTCAAATTTCGGCAGTTCTACTGTCAAGCTTGCGTGTATACACACTACACAGTTAACACATTCAAGTTCAATATCATCAAAGTACAATGGCTTCATTCCCACTCAAATGCTTATGTTTTACTGCCTAAGAATTTCAAGTGAACATTTTCCTAATTTTAGAATGATGATGCCTTCTGTGTGCGAGATTGTGTTAGACAGATGAGCTCTTGTTCTTTTTGTGTATTTACTGTCAGTTCATCAAAGATCTGTCTAGTAGCTGTGAATATATGCAACATAGAATGTCTGCTCTCTATTTGCTATCAATGTCTGCAAAATCAAAATCATAATTTTAATAATAAATTCATTTTCATACCAAGGTTTTTTATTTGTACCTTCACCATAAGTGTTTTAAAATTCAAATAATTGCGCTCTTTTGTGAATGAACCTAGTGTTTGTTGACTTTGATGAAAACTGAAAAGATGGCTGGAAGAGAAGCAAGAATGCACAGATGTATCGTCAAGAGGTTTCTTTCAAACGATAATGTTCTCATAAAATTCACAAATTTATTCTAAACTGAGTAATCAATCAAGAAGGGGGACAAAGTAAGGACCTGCGAACGTTCCATGAATGGCCAGCGTACGTGTCAGGGTAAAAGAATTAACGGTCTTTCAGCGCTAAAATTTATTTTAAAATTGAATGCCGTGTTCTCTCGGTTTCATCCTCCTTGCTTCTTATATATTCCAATCTCAAGTACCCACCATAGAAAACTGTTTAATAATCACCAAAGTTGAACGTCCATCTTTTTCTTTCTTCAACGTCGTTTTAATGAATATTTTCAAAAACATATCATTTTCTATATTTTATGAGAACTACACGTGACTGTGTTGTATACAAAAGCAGTAAAAGTGAAAGGAAGAAAATGGATTCGCGCCATAGCCATCAATCAGCTCAAAATATCACATAAAAATCAAAATTTAAATGTTTGACGACACTATCTTTCCAACAAAATGTCTTTATTCCGTATAATTTACAGTTTGATTGATTCAATCAAAATGATGACCATATCTTTCAATAAATGGTTATATCGAGATATGATCTTATATATTTTATGGATAATACTTATGACAGGACTTAGCATGGAACTTTAAATTGAAAATAATGCAAAACCTTTTAGAGATCATACTAAAAGGCTAATGAACAGCATCATGGATACAGCACTTGTCAATCCAACAATCAGTGAAACATTTTAGCAGCATGAGTGCAAGGGGTAATATTTGAAACACACAAAGTCATAAATATCCAAAATAACCAAATATGTATGAGTGTCTTTGTACACGGTGCAACAATCAAACAAGGCATTAACGTGTAAAATATCGACACCTGCCATTTGTTACAGACGCCGAACTTCGAACGCCGTAACTTGTGGTGGAGACATAAAATGGTACTCAAAACTTCATTAGAAGATCGAAGCAAAGTTTTGTACTTCTCATAACGTTAGTAATAATAGAAAACTCAAGAGGTAAGCCAGACCATAAATATGTTACGACAGAAATTCTATAAGTTCAGCAAAATCAAATCGTTCTCATATCCACTTATGAACGCTTACAACTGTACAAGTAAGCCAGGGCTTCTTGAAATAACGAACCAGTAGAATCAAGTGAGGCAGTATGCAAATCAGGTGCGCTTGAGATGACGGTCGTTTCCTCCTAAGTTAGTTTCTATTTGTTCACCAATTCTGGCCAAAGCATTTGAAAACATTAAGCTGGCTCTTGCATGCAGATACCCCTTCAAGCCAAACAATAATACAAGTTCAGAAATTACTAGACAATGACTTAATATCGAAAGCTCCATTATAGCTGTAATTTAGTTAAGTATGCCCGTCGATTATTAAAGTAAAAATCAATAAAAACTACTAGATATGAAGAATGCTGAAATTGAGAATAAATCGAGAGGAATGATCAGAATGTGACAATGATGATATAACTGATCCGAGAGGCTTCATCAACTTTTCCCCCGTTTGACATGCCAATTGTTTGACTTGCCCTCTATTTGCCGTGCCACCTTTTGACTTTGCCATGTTTGGTTTTTATCTCTTTCTCAAGCATTACTCCAACCGCGTTCTGTTTTAACTCTGTCATCATGGTACATGATGTTAGGATAAGCACGTGCTATTGTTAAAATAGAGAAGAGCATTTTGCTATTTAGCTGAGTTTAACATTATTGTTTCTCTCAGTAAATCATGAGACTATTTTTTTAAAACTGGGACAAGGAGCTACATGACGCATAAGACTAAGAAACTTGATGCAAAGCTACTTTATACTTAAATCGTATGTAAAGTTAGAGATTAACCTATGGTAAAGACACACTGAGATTTCTTTCTAGGTGTGTTATGATCGAGAGTTCGAGTCCTTATGGGGCAGAATCTGTGAATCGTAGAGTCATAAACTATGCATGGCTGCTACCATTAATTTAACTCCGGAGCCCGTTCCATCTCTCGGTATCATCGTTCAAAGCTAATCATAGGCCTATTTAGCTAAAACGTCTTTATTAACAGATCATGTAGTTAACAATAAAGTGTAGGGTTAATGATTAAAACCAACTCATTAGAGCTGTCGACGGGGATTGTTGCAAGCAATTTCATTATTAAGCGTCTAATGGAAGCCGGGAATAAAGATCTAGACGAGATGGAAATCCCTTCAATTTTCTCCAGGTACAAAGATCCGGCTACATACTAGCATGTAATTCTAGCTAATGAGAATAAATTGGAATGCATTACATATAAATGTCTGTTCAAGTCTGCATGTGTTTCTCACCCACGCTCATGGCACTGAAATGTGATTGAATCATAAACATTGATATTTGCAGTAAATCAAACATTATAAAAACAAAAAATTAAAATAGCAATCTTAGAGTTTAGTCATTTCGATTAATAAATCTCTGGTTCCTCGACATGACCAATGACACATTTAAAGTAACAGGAACATTATGAAAAAGCCTTTTTGTTGACTATGGCTTGTTATCCTGGTACTATTATATGTGTTGAAAGTAGCATAATAGTCTACAGTGACGCATAAAACAGAAAAGGATAATAAAAATTAAATGATCAATCCAGATTTGAACTTGACCCTACTAATTTATTGACTAATCAGCTATTGAGAACATTTTGAAAACACATTTTATCAGTATTTTTGCAAAATTTGATTCAATTCATAAAGTCATCAATAAAGTGGATAAAACCCTAATTGTTTGGTAAGGCCATGGGCTTTCAATTAGATAATTCTAGTTGAAAGCCCATGGTAGGGCTATTTCCTTAACATTATACAAAATGTGACAATGATGATATAACTAATCCAAGAGT